TTTCCCAAAATTAATCTATGAATTCAAGGCAAGTCTAATAAAATTGTGATTCTATCATTTTTCTATCAAATCAAAGAGCCAAGAAAGGACCATCTTAAATATGAGCAAGATTGAGCCAAGGAAGAATGTGATTGTTGGTCTATATGGTATGGTAACAAAACTTTGTGCTAAATCACAAAATTCCCTCCTGGAATTCAAAGCATGTATTACTTCGCCGAGGATTTATGGAACTTAGACAACTGTAAGACTATGAGAATATATTGGTTGTTTCTTGTGATCATGATTAAGGTATAGATGGAAAGACCACTTCCAACTTAGAGCTGCCTAGCTAGGTGCACATAGAGACAATGTAAGTTCTGACAATTAGATTTCCAGGGTCCAGAATATGACATTAACCTTGTGTCTTACTGAATTATATATATATCAAATTCTCAGTTTAGCAGTCTTACTGTGAATGACATAGGTACTCTGATTTGGCAAGTTTAATAACTGCAAAATTATAACAGGGCTATCAAATGATGGTGTACCCTGAGCTTATTTATCTTTGTAAGTACTTTCTATTAGGCTTCTGGTTGGATGAAGAAGAATATAGAGGGACAGGTTCCACATATCCACTTTATTAGTCATAAGCAAAGAGAATATGGTCATCATAACAGATGGCCGAGCAGATGTGCATGCAGAAAATAACTAGACATACAGATATCTCACCAGTTTAACAAATAAACTCTCTCAAATTGACAGTAAGCTAAGATTTTGTGGATGCTAAAGCCCCAAAGCCCAAGCCTGGTGCATAGATTTAAATAGATCTTGAATTGCTTGGGAAATCCTTGGCTCCAAGTACAAAGGATGTGGACAGAATTCAGAAGTGCATTATTAAGGTAGTATGGCTTTCTAAGGGGATCCTTTCCAAGGTCCCTCTTTGAGTCACTCTGAGGGACACCAGATAGATATTTACATGCAAGGATAATAAACTGGGACAGACATATTGACTATTCAAGACATTTATCCCATTGCCTAGAAGTGAGTCAACAAATGGATGCTCTGTACATCAACTTGTTCTATCATTTTTCTTACTATCCATGTGTAGCAGGGATATTATACAATCTAGACCTGTGCTCACAATGTTGTATCCTGGGAGTTTCTTCCCAATCCCAAGTTACTGAATAACAGTTTTCGTCATGATTATCTTTCTTTTCACCCACCACTGAAAATAGGCTTTTAAGGCTTTTTAAAATTTTTAATTTTTTTTAAGGATTTTAGGGGTTTTTGGCTCCATAACCTAGTAGTTAAGAGATCCAGATCCCAATGGTCAAATGTGGTTAGAATACTGGCCCAGTGGCTTGAAAAACACACTTGGCACATGTATGTGTGCCCAAAATTCTGACAGAATGGAGAAATGGAGGAGAAGGGATTGTGCCATTACCACGCCCCATTGGGGGCTACTTATTTTTTCTCCTTCTATCTTTCTGTCTTTCTCTGTTAGCATACATGCCCTCTGACTATAAAAGAAAGAAAGAAGAAAGAAAAAAAAAGAGGAAGGGAAGGAGGGAAGAAAGGGAGAAAGAAAAGGAAGAAAGGAAGGAAGAAATAATACAGTTCTAGTGTTGACCTAGGGGTTCCACTTCCAGAAATAATATCACTCAGATACACTTCTGCATGTTGGGTTGTGCTAAGAAGTGGTAGTTGATGGACCCACACCAGGAGGCACAGGCAAGCATGCAAGTTCCTTTGTTTGAAGTAAATGACATAAAAATTTAAAGGACTAACCACCTTTCTCACCCAACTCTCATCTAGGGGCAAGACTCCCTGACCTCTGAGTCCTGATAAAGGTCCTCAGATGCTAATAACACTGCCTATGACCTTGAAAATATTATTTCTGGGGGAAAGAGGTGCCCTTAGCTCTTCTCCATCATTCAGGCTCTGTTATGTGCCTTCAAGAGGTACAAATAACTGAGCAGAACCCCCAGTGCTTTTGTGAGAAGCAATCAAGGATCATTTTCTTTCTCTCTTTTTCTTTCTTTCCTTCCTTTCTTTTTCTTTCTTTCCTTCCTTTCTTTTTCTTTCTTTCTTTCTTTCTTTTTCCTTTTTCTTTCTTTCTTTCTTTCTTTCTTTCTTTCTTTCTTTCTTTCTTTCTTTCTCTCTCCCTTTCTCCCTTTCTTTCTCCCTTTCTCCCTTCCTTCCTTCCTTCCTTCCTTCCTTCCTTCCTTCCTCTTTCTTTCTTTCTTTTTTGGAGAGGTTTTTGCTATAGGGCTTGTGTACTTGCCAGAAAGACAGAGTGAGACAGAAAGACAGAAAGCAAGAATCACCCCCCAGCGGGGATAGCCACGCTGCAATCCCTTCTCCTCCATTATCCTCTCGGGATCTTGGGCACACACGCACACGTGCCCGGCGTGAGTTTTAAGTCACTGCTTCCCGGACTTGAACTGCGATCAACTACGTGGGAGTCCAGCGACATAGCCATTACGCCATCTGCTGGTCCCAATCAAGGGTCATTTTCAAAGATAGTTTTCACAGGGTATCCTTTCACAGATCTAGGTTTTAGCCTTGCCTACGGTCTATACTTGCAGCCTTCTTCACCTTGGGAGGAACTTAACGTACTTTCAGCACATCTGTTTGTCTTCAGAAAGCATTTTTACATTGTACCCAAAAAACAAACCAAATGCCCATTTCTATTACTATGATAACTGGAGCAAGTATCTAAATTACTGAAGGAGGAGAAAATATTCTATTAGTTAAATCAAAGTATTTCACCTTTTTTCTTTTTTAGTAATTGGATGATTGCAACTCCCACCCCATCATGTGCTTAAAAGTAACATAAAACTGTATGGTGAATTGTTAAAACTAGAGTTGCCAAGCCCAAAGGGTGACATCCCTGTGTTTAGTGGAAGAGGCATAAGCCATGCTATACGGGAAATAGGGAGAAAAAAAAGTAAGTTTGAGAAAGAAGAGGACTCTGTAGATCTGCTGCTAAAGACAACAAAAAAACAAGGATCTTGCCTACAACTGGTTGTTTTCCTCAGTCTGTATCTTTAAAATAATTTACTTGAGGCTGCTGAAAAACATTTTAACCATGATCATCTTTCTTCTTCCAAATCAATAAATGAAAAAAGAAAGTATGACTCAGTTGAATCAAATATTCTATAAAAACCTGAGTCATTACAGGAATGGAGGAAACCAGGCAGATGGATTAAAATGGCCTTTGTTACAAGAATAATGGTTGTAATTGCTGAGCATGTTCAATAGGCCAGGCGCTTTACACAAACGGCTGTCATCCCACAAGGACACGGAGGTGGTATTTTTCTCACTGCACAGAGATCACCAAAACTCAGAGATGTCAGATAACTTCCCAGACTGGACAAGGCAGAGTCCAGGCAGATCTGTGCCTCCAAATCTGCTCTATCCTGTCCCCTCCCCATCTTCAGGTGAGAGGAAGAGGGAGGAGTGAGGAGGGGGCAGGGAGAGGATGGGATGAGATTTCTTTCAGAACAATGGCAAATCATTGCAATGAAAGGAAATGAAGCTGTGCACAATGAGTTTTAAAACAGTGGGGGAAGAATGAGAGCTGCACCAATTGTAGGGCTACTGTGAAATCTGGGGAATAATTTCGGTGGGGAGCATTTAAAGAACAAGGAGCTAAGACTACCTCTCTGAACACCTTTACGCTTCATTTGACAATATCGACTGGACCACGTTAGATCTCAACAGACATTTGGAGCCACTAAGTATATGTATACCTTTATTAGATAGGCATCGACTTTTTGCTTTGTTCTATAGGCATTTCTATGTGTTTTAAATCTCCCCCCAGACAATGTCTCTCTCTCTCCTTTTTTTTTTTTTTTTTTTTGGTTTTAATCATAGGGCATGTGTGCTTACCAGGGAGAGACAGTGAGAGAGAAAGTGAAAAATCACCCCTCATGGGGGATGGCCAAGCCACAATTCTGACTCCTCTATTCTCTTCCTGGGATTTTAGGCATGCACACACACATGCCCAGTGTAAATTTTAAGCTCTAGGTTCAGGATTCGAATATTGGTTGGTCATGGGGGGGCGGGGGGGAGGTCCAACCCTTTAACCACCATGCCACCTGCCGGCCCCAGGCCATATTGTAATATCAACAGCATCTAGCATTTATGTAATACTTTATGGCCAGATTAGGTGTACATTATCTCAAGCAGAGAAATTCTATTAATCTTAAAAGGCAGGCATTAGATATTTCTGTGTTGATGACTTCAAAGCTCGAAGAAGTTAAGTGAGTTGTCCGAAGTCACATGCCAAGCACGTGGAAAAGCTTGAACCTAAGTTAAGGAGCTCTAACTTCATATCTGTTCTCTTTTCAATGTACAAAATCCTCTTAAGAGAACCTTATCTTTTTGATTCATCATTGCAGTTTTACACGGCCAAGTCCTACATCTTAGTCCTGATAGCGTTTCATACATAACTTTTAGATGATTTTTATGAATGAATTAAGTGAGGGAAGGCATGAATTTGATACTTTATGAAATGGTCTAATAAGATTTACATTTGGGCAATTTGACTTTCTGATCTGGATAGAAAGTGTTATAGAAAATTCTTCTATCTACTTGTGTTGCATTTAAATAAATGACCTCCCAGATGTCCTCCAAGAAGATAGTTTCACCATATTTTCAGGTTGAATAATGTTTGGTTTTGGTCCTTTTGGAGGTCATAAATCTCTTTAATCAGTGTTTAATGGTTTGGGGGATGACTCTGAGCAAGTATTCCATTAATTGAAAGAAGAATGTTGTCATCTGCCACAGAGATTTCTCATTATGTTCCATCAAAACAGAGCACTGTTTGGAATTCTTTTATGAACAGTGTAATTACACCACATCCTATGGTGTTTGTAAGTAGTGCTCACAATTACCATCTCTGTCATGAGTGGGAAGTGATCCGTGCTAAACAGGAGTTAGGCCAGATGGGTCTTGGTAAGACCCTCTCCCCGCCCCTTCAGCCTCATTAAATTAAGCTGTCCCTATGTGTGTGCACAAGACATAAATCAATCTTTTATTTCTGTATGTATTAAAGAAATGCATTCGCTTCCATTAATTAAAAGTCAAGTGTTGGTGTTTACAATGAACAGGGCAGAAGAGCCATTTATTCTGAAGGGTTTCAGAGAAGCAGATCCTGGTGAGATGCCACAGGCTTCAGGCAGGCTGGCAGCAAGTAGAACTCGGACACAAACCAGCCTGTCCTTGTCCTTGTCCTAGTCCTGGAAGAGAAAGCGAGCACCCCAGCAAACTCAGGACTCTATTTCCTCACTGCAAAATGACACCATCTAGAGGGACATGGCCGATACCCTCCATGGGTATGGAGAACACAAGGCCCTGCCCCATGCGCGGGAGTTACTGGGCTTGCCAGTCACATGTTGTAGTGTGCACTTTATCTTGTGGTCTCCAATTTTCTCCTGACTGTGATATTATTTCTGATTTTCCTTTTCACTTCACCTCCTGCCAATCCAACCCTTCCCCCATCTCAAACATACTCATAATTTTTGCAGGTATTTAATGTTCTCTCCCTTCTATTCTTCCTTTTTCACCTGCAGTTGCTTCTAAGTCATGTATTAATCATTTACATCTTAGTAAGAAGTGTAACCAATGTGATTCCCTGTGTCTATCACATTGTATATTGTGTATGTGCATGTATACATACACAGTGCATGTACATACACACACACTTTTATATATATATTATATAATTCATGGTGTGTATGTGTGTGTGGACTATTAAACTGAGTTACTCATTATGAAGAAAAGGGTTTGTGCCTGATTTAATAATTTTTCAAATATCCTTCTTACATACCAATGTCTTTTTTCTGTCATAAAATAACTGTCATAATAGACAGATTGGAAAAACTTTTCAAAGAGAAGTAGAGGAATTTCACCTGTAATTCTACCACTCAGAATTAATAACTATATTATTGGTGCACTTCCCTTCTTTTTTCACTTATAAAATTATGAACTATTTCTTGCTTATAAAAACATATAGAGAATAATGTACAGTAACATTCATATGTATATACCCCACTTGAGAGAAACAGCATTGGATATATGTAATTTCCCTTCTTACTCACTAGAGCTAACAAGTATTCTAAAGTTGGTGATTATTGTGCTTAGTATTGCCATGCATTTCTTTATTTTTTACTACAAATGTACATATCAACAAACAAAATATGATATTGCTTGCATACTTTAAATTTTCAAATCAGTGGTAGTATACTAAAATTTGTTTAATAAAAAAACCGACAACTTGTTATTATGCTCAAATTATACTTTGAAACTTAGCCATGTTGCTACATATAAATCTAAGTTTATTCACTTCGACCGTTGTACATTATTCTATGTATAAATAAAAATGCCACAATTTATTATCTATTCTCTAGGTGACTGACAGGTTGTGTTCAAGTCTTTTGCTATTACAATGGTTCATGTCTCCCAACACACATGTGCAAGGGTTCTCAGGGAAATAAAGCCATGTTTTATCAACTGCAGCTCGTGGGTGAGCGAGATGAATATCATAGAGGACAAATAAAGCTGGAAGGTCACCCCATGAGGAAGTAGGGATGTTCATTGATACCCCAAATTGTCTTCTGAGATTCAGAATTCACAGCTTAGGCAGTAAATGAGTCAGGAGTTGATGATAAGGCTTTTAAAATAATCTTGCAAAAATTCATGTACTCAGTATACATTTGGAGCACACACATAGTTCATCTCACTTACCTGAGGCCCTTCTATCAAATCTTTGGAACAGGGCAATTCTTTAGGAAAAGGCTCAGAGCAGTCAAATAAAGAAGTCTACATACTGACTGAGGCAATCCCAAACTTTAATCAGAAGAGGAATGATGTGACCCTCACCTGGAAATGACTTCCTCTCTTATTTTAGTCATGATTCTGACAAGCTTGGTCTCATTATTTCCCAGTCCACAGTAGATTAGAGACAGTCATTTTAAGGCAGGGAGACTGACAAAGGAGGATAGTAGATAGAAAAAAATGAGACTCCCTGGCTCTGCCCTTTTGTTTATCCTCTCACTTGCAGGCTGAAGAATGAGAAAAACAATCAGAAGGAAGAATTGGAGGCCTCTAGTGTAGGGGGAATAGCTCTTTATATACAACTTGAAACTGAGTCATCAGGAAATGCTTTAAACTCTTTAGACAAAGTTGGAGTGTGAGTTACATACTAGCAGCATTTCCACTGAGATTCGGGAATGTGGAAATTTTAACTTTAAAATAATGCTTGATGTATGCAGAGTTTACAATCTAGTAAACACTTTTGCCAAATTTATCATTACAACAAGACTGTGACTCAGGTAGGCAAACATTTCGCTTAAGGACAAGGAAATTGCAAGCCCAATAGACTTCAATGTCTTGATCATATTGGCCAAGCCATGGTCCTCTGGCTCCTTACCTTGCATTCTTCCTGCCTCTCTGTGCCACTCTCCTTTCCTACAACTCTTCCCTGGAGACCTGGGCCAGGGCACTGTGAAATCAAAGCTAAGAACACTGATTTGACATAGGTGACTTCTGTGCATGGCAGTTAGAGCACATGCTTGAGGCCTGGACAGTTCAGGTTTGATTCTTGCCTTAGTTTACTCATACACATGGAAATAATAATCCTTGGAGCCAGGCGATAGCAGAGCAGTAATGCAACTGGATCCATATGGGAAAGGCCCCACTCTGTGTCCTGGGACTGAGGTGAGCATGTTGGGTACACATGCTTACTCATCATCTGGTGTGGCTGAAACTGGGAGTACCTTGCAACGTGAAAACCCTGTTGGGAATGCCTGTCTCTCTGTCGGTCTGTCTCTCTCTCTCATAGAAGAAATAAATAAATAGGGACCAGCAGTTAACGTAATGGCTATGTGACTAGACTCCCATGTAGTCAATCACAGATCAAGTCTCGGACCCAGTGGCTTAAACTCACGCTAGGCGCGTGTGCATGCGTGCCCAAGATCCCGAGAGGAGAATGGAGAAGAAGAGAATGCGGTGTGGTCTTCCCCCCTGGAGGGTGATTTCTCGCTTTCTGCCTCTGTCTTTCTGGCGATTGCACACGCCCTATAGCAAAAATCTCTCCAAAAAAGGAAATAATAAATAAATAAATAAATAAATAAATGTTTACAAATTCACACTACTGGGGACCAGTAGGTGGCATGGTGGTTAAGGTCCTAGATACTTCCACATGGCCGGCCACAATTTGAGTCCTGGAGATGGTGGCTTGCTTTCTCTCTCGCTGTGTGTTTGTGTGTGTGTGTGTGTGTGTGTGTGTGTGTGTGTGTGTGTGTGTGTATGTGTGTGTGTCTGGTCAAATTAAAATAAATTAATTAATAAATAAAATTAAATAAATAATTCTTTAAAAAAAAACACAAAAAACTCATCCTGCTTACATCATAGGGTTATTGGGATAACCCAATCAATTCATTCACAAAAAGTACTTAGACAAATAGCTAAAATGTGGTAAGTACTATATCCTACTTCCCAAACTGTAACAGAATAGATGTGAATTCACAAAGTATGGGTAGTTAGGAAAATAACTATGATTTGAGATTAGAAACTGGACTATAATAATGCATCTCTGACTTCCAGAGACTTTTTTAATGCTTCTGTCCTATTTTATTATTAAATCATTTATCTTAAAATTCTTTACTTCCATTTTTTTAAAGTTAGCTTTATGGCTCAACAAGCTATTTTTGGTTGCATTCCAGCAAATTGGTATAGTCTGTCCTTGTTTTTTGTTCGTGGTGTGGTTCTAGTCCCTGTGTTTGTAAAAAATTGGAAACAGTGTTAATGACATTTTAATGAAAGAACATTTTAGTAAAAAAAAGAAATCTTAAGTATACAAGTGAAGGCTATGCCCTACCTCTATTCCAATTGCCAAGCTTTATTAAAGGTCCTTCTTGGGAACCAGCAGTTAGCGTAATGGCTATGTCGCTGGACTCCCACGTAGTCGACCACGGTTCGCGTCCCGGACCCGGTGGCTTAAAACTCACATCGGGCGCGTGTGCGTGCGTGCCCTAAATCCTAAGAGGAGAATGGAGGAGAAGGGATTGTGGCGTGATCATCCCCCCTGGGGGGTAATTTCTCGCTTTCTGTCTCTATGTCTCTCTCTGTCTGGCGAGCGCACGTGCCCTATAGCAAAAGCCTCTCCAAAAAAAGAAAAAAAAAAAAAAAGGACCTTCTTTAGGAAAATTAAGTTGCTACTTTTAGCTTAATTTAATTTTTTAAATTTATTTTTCCATTTTATCTTATACATTCAATTACAAAAGTTGCTACTTTTTAAAATCATAAAAAAAGACCTTATTTAATACCACCTGTGCAATGTTTATAGAAAGCCATAGAATCATTCTGTTCTAGTGGCAGCTGGGGTGGTTAGCATGGCAATTAAGAAACTGTACAAAAAAATTCACATTCAGTTTTTAGTAAATAACTTTTTAAATGTTATTTGAAGAAAATGCACCATTTTTCTTGCAATATTTTGAAATAAGCTGGTAAGGCAGAAAATAAGGAGAGCTGTGTGATGGAAATCATTGAGTATCTTCTCTTTTTTTTAATGCATATTATTAAACCAGCCCTGTAGGAATTGTGCCCCTTGTCTTTCCTCTGTTCTCTTCAGATAATTTCTACTTATGAGCAAATTTTTTATGTATTTTTTAGTCAGAATATATATATTATTTGGTATTATTAAGTTTTTCACTGATTATAAGCAATTTAAAAATATTTCTGCAGGGGCCAACAGGTGGTGTAGTGGTTAAGGCACTGGATCCCTACATGGCCAGCTCTAGTTTGAATCCCAGACCTGGTGACTTGCTTCCTCACTTTCCCTCTCTCTCTCTTTGATGAAAGTGTGTGCCCTATAACAAATAAAAATAATAAGAATAAGAATGATAGTGACAATAAATAAAATTAAATGAATAATCCTTAAAAATGTTTCTCCTTTAAAATAATCATGTGATATTTATCTTATAAATTCAGCAAAAGTTTATTTGACCATATCATTGCACATTTTCCAATAACTATTTTTTTCCACGCATTTTCTTTTTTTTATTCTTTTGAGTTGCTATTCTGGGGTTGTTTCCCATTGCTAGGAAGTGGAAGAATATGGAAGATTTACTGCTGAATGAAGCAAGCAAGGCTATGAAGGAAAGACATTGTATATCCCCACTTAATATATACCGAGTGTCTGCACTCTATGACTGAAACTGATTGACTAGAGGATATAGAAACACAGTAAATAGATATGAATACCAGATATAGTGTATGTGAAAAAGCAGAGTCTGAGGAAGGACATTTAGAAGAAAAATGTGAGGCAAAGCATTAATGAGACAAAGAATTATGATATTGTCTGTTGAAAATAATTTTATAGTTTTATCAACTGGACTAGGGAGAAATGTTCACATGTTGAAATATTCACTTTCTAAGCTAAATAATGTGATTGACTGTAAAAAGAAAATAAATTTTTTTTTTTTGGAGAGGTTTTTGCTATAGGACGCGTGCGCTCGCCAGACAGACAGAGAGAGACAGAGAGACAGAAAGCAGGAAATCAACCCCCAGGGGGGATGGCCACGCCGCAATCCCTTCTCCTCCATTCTCCTCTCGAGATCTTGGGCACGCACACACACGCACCCGGCGTGAGTCTAAGCCACCGGGTCCGGGATTCGAACCGTGGTCGACTACATGGGAGTCCAGCGACACAGCCATTACGCTAACTGCTGGTCCCAAGAAAATAAAATTTTAAAATATTTTTTAAAAGGTTAAAAAAAAAAGAAGTAAAAAAATGTAAATACTTTTGCAGGTTTTGTTATAGAGTGCTGTTAGGACTTCCTGAAAATGTGAACAAATTTAGAGTTGTGGAAACAATTCTATTTAAGAGAAAATAAAGTACAATCTTGTATTTTCAAGAAAAGAGATACAGGATGGGAGAAATACAAAAGAGAAAAAGGGTGAGAAACAGCATTAAGAGTATTTAAGAATGGGTATTTAAAAAGTCCTAAAACCCATAATTTGAGGCCAGAGTAGGCATGAAAAATAAATACCTGTTCACTGGGGTTTTTTTTAATATATTTTTAAAAATTCATGATGGAGTGAATGTACACACACAAGAGAGACACACACAGAGAGAAGCTTATTCATATCACAGAGCTTAATCATATCACAACCTTCTTCCTTCATTTTCCTGCCCACCAGGATCCCAGATACATCCACACACTCATATATTTTCAGGCCAACCTGCCAAGGACTCAGATTGCAGTCAGCATGTGACTTCCAGCTTTGATGTCTGGCTTGCTTCCAACGGTACCACAGAGGCTGGGCCATCCTTCACCTTCAGAAAGGAGATTGCTCATGTTGAGACTAAACTGTGAAACAGCCCATTTCCATTCCTTTTAACTTAAAGGACAGCCAGTAGAATCATTGCGTAATTGAGTCTATTGGCCACAAGTACTGCCATCCCTACTTTTCGATACTTCACTCTATTTTTCTGGGGAGAGGTTTTTGCTATAGGGCGCATGCGCTCGTCAGAGAGACAGAAAGCGAGAAATCACTCCCCAGAGGGGATGGCCAATGCTGCAATCCCTTTTCCTCCATTCTCCTCTTGGGACCTTGGGCATGCATGCACACGCACCTGGCATGAGTTTAAGCCACTGGGTCCAGGACTCGAACCGTGGTCGACTACATGGGAGTCCAGTGACATAGCCATTATGCTAACTGCTGGTCCCAATACTTCACTCTTCACACACATCACATAGCATCCTATTTATTTGGAATCATTTGGATGTGCTTGGCCAGGCAGATATTTTTCCCATCAGAAGATTGGCAGAATATAGAACTTTGGGTTGCCAAACACTGAGGCTTGTTTACTGAGCCATTCTGCCTCCTATGCATAGAGCAAATGAGGGGAAGATGGGATAAGGAGGGGGATGTTGTTTTTGGAGGAGTCTGAGCTTTCGTTTCCCATTAGTGAATTTTATTTAACTAAAAAACACTACCTATGTATTGCTATGACAACACTGAGCTGCAGGCTTCCTGCTCTAGTTTTCTCCCATGCATCAAATCAAACACCTAGTCATGTTGCCCAGATAGTCATCTTTTGGCTGATCTTTAAAGACCCCACACTATGACTGTTTTTTTTTTTTTCCTTAAAACACATGAGCAGACACAAATTTTTGCAATCCGTAAAACTACCAAACTCAAGGGCATGTTAGATTTCAAAAGCTGCAGGTCAGATGTTTAAAACTTCAAACAATTTCCTGCTAGAAAAAAATAATGGCATCTCGGGAGTTTTTTTTGTCATTTTACATTCTTTAGATACTAAACATGGATATTTTATTTGATTTTTACAACAGTTTGGGTAGAAAGTATTATTAATCCATTTTACAGATGATGGGGGGGAAAAAAAAGAGAGAAGCTAAGTCAAGTTTTTCAAAGTCTTGGAGCCAGTGGGCATGAGAGCTAGATCTCTAACCTATGTCCTCAAGCTCTAACCCTGTCTCTTTCAACGTCAGCATACTTGGACAGGCTCCTGATGCAACACAAAAAGGCCATTTTGCCCATGATTGTTAATAGTGCAATTTAGGAAAAATATTTTCCTTTCGATTTTGGGATTTGAGGCAGTCTGTGGGCAGTGATGCGAAATAAGTCATGCTAAGCTTGTCTTTGGAGCCCTTGGGCTTCTTTTCCTGTACTCGTAATGTTCTTTTCACTGACTCAGCTCCAAGAATACTAAATCAGATTGGTTTTGAGTTGTGATTCAAGAATTTATATTGAAAAATACGCAAAACAAAACAAACAAACAAAATCCTCTAACATCAATGAAAGTTTAAACAAAGGGAACAGGAAAGCAATTTCTTATGTAAGAAAACGGGCAAACTTAACGACATAAAGAAGTCATTTCCTCTTAAGTTAACCTTTACATGAATATCTCAAAATAATATTTCAAGAAAAAAAACATAAGGGATTAGCTGATGATAAAGTTTCCTTAGAAAAACTAACAAGCATGAGTAGGCTGTACGTTTTGACTAAGGAGAGCAGTGAGGATGTTTCGCCTAGAGATTTCATAACATGCTACAAAAAGGCCAGCTCTTTCCATCTTGCATCCCTGACACCTTCCTCATATCTAGAGTCCCTGTGCTGGTCTTCATCAAGCCAGCACTGGCTGTTTAAGGAACTGAAAAATCTGGCTGTATGCAGAACAGGAGGAACCAGACCTAAGTGGAATGACTTAGTTCTACAAGAACATTAGAGAGATAATGACTTACAAGATTTAAGAAGACACATGGGTGAGAGTATAAGGAAATAGACACTCTCCTCTCCTGCTGGTGGGTATTTCATTTCTCCTTCAGATACCTGTGCATGAAATGTGGTATATACAATAGTCTTCCTGAAAGTCTGCTGATTCTTCAATATCATTCCTTAATTCACTTCTGAACCCACATGTTATTCAAAAGCTTCCAGATTTCCAAATTTCTCAATTTTCTGCAGCACTGAAGCCTTCAAGAGCAGGGTACAGGAAGCCATTTTCCTGTGTGCATTGTTTGTAAAGCATGTGTTTACAAGTGGAACTGTCAAATGTCCTAGTTTGCCCAGAGAATCCTGTTGTTTCTCATATAATGATCTCCTTTCATAGATATCCTGATTTGGTGCATAAATTATATGACCACCCTATTTATAGGGAAAGGAGCACCTGCATTTCAGTGGAGGAGGAAAACAGCTTTGCCTAAAGAACATATGTGTGACGCTGAACTCCTCTCTAAGGCAGGAAGAGGGGACCCTCCCACCTCTAACTCCCTCTGTGTAAACTTTCCTTAAGTCAACTCACAGGCTCTTGGAAGGCTGGCCTGAGTTAGCATTGTGTCCTCATTAGCAACATGGAATTCCCATGTGTTCCATCAAATGAGACTCTTTCAAGGAGCCACTTAGCTCATAGCAACAGAGTATGCACATGTGTATGTATGTGTGAGCAAGTGTGGTCTCAACCTAACCTTGCCGTGGGTAAGAAGAAATGTGGAAATACAGAGAGAATGCTCTGTATTCTCTCAGTATTTCTGGAATTGCCTCCTCTTGTTTGCAAGGCAGGAGGAGGAGAAAGGGTGGGGCAAGGGAAGGGAGAGAAAGGGGAAGGACATATTTAAAACCACTGACAACTCAGAGTCCTCTCCCTCCATGTCCCAAGGTCGGTACTGCTGTATAGAAAACCCCTGTGACCTGGCAGTTTCCATAGAGACAAGTCTCTTTCATAGGAAGGTGCGGTGAGCAGGATATACAAAGCCCTAGCAACTGGCTGAAGGCTTTTTTTTCTTAATTTTTTTTTTTAAATGAGGATATTGCTGTACTTGAATTCAAAAGGCCTTTCCCTGGGAAAGCAGGTTCTGGGTAGCAGGAAAGAGCTAGCTAGCTTGCCCAGTGGCTGTAAATTTGGAAATAAGATTTGAAAGCTGATCATGGACTAGAGTAGGAAGAGGGAGGAAGGATGACTGATGCTTACCGGGCAGGCCGGATCCGGTCTGAACCACCTTCCAGCCTGCTGTATGGGAGTTCACCGCTACTGCTAATTAATCCAGGAAGTAATACCACTAGGGACGAAAGAAACTGCTACTGCCTCAGCAGCCTCAGCGTGGTCTTCCCTTCCACCTGGCAAAGTCCAGGCATTTTTAGCAAGGAGAAGTCAAGCACTGAGGGATGCAGAATCTGAGAGCTGTGCAACACAGTGAAACTGCTGACTTGGCACAAAGCATGGTCCATTTAGCTGATATTTACCTAATGCCTGCCTCATTCATCAAACCAGCTCAAATATTTCTCGAGGAGAGTCTTCTGTCTTAGTAAGAGACGCATTTGGCTGCATATAAAGAGACCCAGCTGAGTAGTTGACCACATAGCGGTTTATTGTTCACATAATAAGAGGTCCAGAAGTAGGCTGTCCAGGAGGGCTGCCAGCTCTGTATTCATCCAGGTACTAGCTCCTGTTGCTCTCCCTGGCCGTTCTTGGCATGTTTCATCCTCGTGGTCTCTTCATGGTCACAAGATGGTTGTTTTAGCTCTAGCCATCATCTGAGGCAGGAAGAAGGAAGAGAAAAAGGGTCAGTGGCCACATTGAGAAGCAAAACCTTTCCTAGAAATTCATGGCAGATTTCTGCTTCCATCTCATTAGCCAGAGCTGGGTCATGAGGCTCCAACTCCAAGCTCCAAGGGAGGCAGGGATATGCGGTTTTTCAGCTGAGCCAATTACCACCATGAGCAAACGAAGAAGGAGCATGACTCAATGAGAAGCAGCATCTGCCGCAGGTTCCCTGATCATCTCTGCACATCTTATATCTCGAGGTCAGCTTATAGCTCCCTGTAGTGGTGTGCTGGAAAATGTCTAATGGTCAGACCTCTGGGACCATAAGAGGGGGGAGGGGACACCAATTCAAAGTCTTTTTACTGATTTCCATGATGTAAATACTCCTGTTATGGCCAATTTCAAGCTACCCACATGATGTCCAATAGAGTTTCAAAGAAATACAGTCACAGATCATTCTGTGGTATTTGCACCGTGCAGATACAAAAGGCATAAATAAATTTAACAACACAGAAAGTAGTAAGATGTAAAATAATTAGGATACCATCGTTTATATATTTATTATCTTAAAGCCAGCCAGACATATGTGGAATGTATGCCCAAAATCCTGAGAGAGTGGCAGAGATGGGATCGTGGCATGGTTTCCCCTCTGAGAGTGGGAGGGTAATTTCTCAGTTTCTCTCTCTGTCTCTCTGATGAGCATGAATACCCTATAGCAAAACTAGAAATAAATAATATATAAATATTTGTTATCTTGTTTTTAATATATTATTTAATTGCAAGCTAACATAATTTAAAATTGAATAGTGAGTGACTGCATCTAACCACCAGCTCACAGCATTCTTGGAAATATTTTTAAAGTTTTATTTATTTATTCCTTCCATGAGTGAGAGAGAGAGAGATAGCACTCCCAATAGAGTCTTGATACTGCTATTCATCCCCACCTTCAGTCAGCTCCAGATTATAGGCACATGTATGCCCAGTGCCCTTAGGGAGATCTCGAAGCATGAACCAGGAACCTTCCCATGTAGGACTGCCTCATGTTTTACTGCTGTGTCACTGTCAACCCCCTGTTCTCAGAAACTTAACCACCTACTCCCATGCAAGCCATCACATGAAGAATCCCCCACATGACTCCCTTGTGGATCTCTGCACTTCCTACATTGCACTTATTGGAGTTTAACATCATTGGGGTGTTTATGTGATCGGGTGGTTAATATTTCTTTCCCCTGCTAGGGTGTAACTCCATGAGGGCAATATTTGTGTCCAGTGTTCTGATCATGATGTTTGGAACACAGCAAATGCTCAATTCATATTAAATAAATAAAAGAATCAATCCAGTTGGAATAAGGGTATATATATAGAAAGCGAGAAATCAACCCCCAGGAGGAATGACCATGCTGCAATCCCTTCTCCTCCATTTTCCTCTTGGGATCTTGGGCGTGCACTCACACATGCCCAGCATTGAGTTTAAGCCACTGGGTTCAGGACTCGAACCACGGTCGACTACATGGGAGTTCAGTGACATAGCCATTAAGCTAACTGTGGGTCCCATAAATGGATAATTTATTGATGCCCCAAAGCTCTTGCATCTCAGCCTCTAGTTCCATCTTTTCCTTCAGTACTGGGTATCATTCTTTTAAGCACCTTGTTTCCCGGACTTGATTAAGGTATGGGAACATTTCGGTCTCTTTTTTCGCATCTCTGTTGATAGTTCAAGTCCTGGCCTGCCTTCACCCAGAGGAAATGGTGAAGAAGTTGTACAGAGAAGCTGAGAACAGAAATGGGACTGTGAATTGAAAATGGTCATTTTGAAACAAAAACTAAGGTTTTATCTTGCCAAAATGTAAGGCAGATAACAAATATCCCTGCCTCCTGATTCTGTGCTGCGAATGCACGTTGGAGAGAACTGGATCTGTGAACAAGCAGCTGGATGACTTTGCCAGCCACTCTCTTCTCTGAACCTTGATTTCTTTTCTCTAAAATGCTCGAACCCCAGCATGCTATAGTTCAGAGAAAAGAACTAAAAATAAACCAGATGAATCCAGGGTGCCAGGCTTTCCATATTCCTTGCTTTGGCAAAGATGATAAAAGTGGTGGCAAAACAGCAGGATAGCCATGATAGAACTTCCACATGGGAAGGTCCTAGGTTTGTGTCCCAGAGCCTCCCTGTAAATGCTGGGTGCACACACACAGGCCTCTGATCCAAGCTGGCTGACATTGGGGTGGCTCATGGAGTGAAGACTCTATTGAGGGTGTCTGTCTCTTTCACTCTCAGAAGAAACAAATAAATAACGGTAAAAAAAAAAAAAAAAAAAAAAAGATGATTAAAGTGCCTTGAAAAAAACTATTTCCATCAAACCTTGGCTTCCCTTACCTCAAGAAGAAGGTACTAATGCCCAGCAGATTGCAAATGCCAGTATAACGAAGAATGCAGCTCCACTTTAAAAGGAAAGTATATTGATTTTTGGAACAGCCATCCCCTAGTATACGTAATTTTGAGTCAAAACAAGAAAATTTATGAGGGTTCAGCTTACTCTTATAACATTTTAAAAATCAATAAAAGCTGCCAATAAGAACGTGGATGTGGTGGCTCAAAAAAGCAGATAGAAGGATATTTTTGCTGGTATCGAATAGAACAATTAAAACAAGCCCTGTAACAGAGGGAAAACGGAACTATTTTATCAGGTAGAAAGTACTTGAGCCTAGAACTAAAGTTAAGACTCTTAGATACAATTTCTGGCTCCGATGCCTTCAGAGGTAAGCATCATCATTATAGCAGGGACCATATTTATCTTGCTGATTATAAAACCCAGTGCCTCACATATAGTAGATATTCAACAAACATTTTTTGAATAAACGTTTTGTACTGCCACTTAATCACTGAGTCTCAGTTTTGCTTTTTCATTCATTCCTCCATTTGGTACTTCCTTCAGTCTCCCTACCACCACTTCCTTGTCTAGGTCACCGTTATCTTTAAATAGGTCATTGCAGTGGACTCCTAACTGCTCCACTACCTCTAGTCCTGTCCCCATCTAAATTCTAAATTGTCAAATTTGGCACCATAAAATGGTTCATAGTTGGGGCAGACTGGTTTGGTGGTTAAGGTGACTGGACCTCACATGCCTATAGCATGGTTCTAGTCCTGGATCTGGTAGCTTGAAAAACATACCTGACATGTGTATGCATGTCCAAAATCTTGAGAAAAAGGAGAAATGGAGGAGAGGGTATTATGGTGTGACCATGCCCCATGAGGGATTGTTTTCTTGCTCCCTTCTCCCCCTACCCCATCTCTCTTTGGTCAGTGCACACGCTCTTTGGCAAAAAATTTTAAAAATTGTTTACAGTATATTCTATTTTCTTTTAATGTTTGTAGGACTGATAGTGATGTTTCTTTGATTTAAAGTTCAACACACCATATTGGTAATTAGTAAATGTTCCATATGTACAAGAAAGAAATATTTTCTGAATTTGCTTGGTGCATTCCTCATTTAGGTCAAGTTGTCTAACCGTATTATTTAAGCTTCTATTTCCTTAACATTTTTTCTACTTCTTCCATCAGCAGAGAAAGTTATATTAAGTTATTGAGAAAATTATATTAAAATCTTCAGTTATAATTATGCATTTGTCCTTTTGTCTTTTTAATTTATCAACTTCTGCTTTTTAAACTTTGAGGATGTTATTCATTTCGTAAAACTTAAAATTGTTAAATCTTGGGACCAGCACATGGCATAATGGTTATATCTCTGGAATTCTATGTAGTTGACCATGGTTTGAGTACTAGACCTGGGGACTTACTTAAAGCTCATGGTGGGTGTGTATGCATACCCAAAATACCAAGAGGAGAATGGATGAGAAGGGATTGTGGCATGGCCATCTCCCTGGGAGTGATTTCTCACTTTCTGTCTATCTGTCTCTCCAGGGAGTGCACATGCCCTATAGCAAAAATCTCTTTCAAAAAAAAAATTAGATCTTCCTATTGAATTTACCTTTTCATCATAATGAAAACTTATGTTTTCTTTCTTTTTTTTTTTTTTTACTGTATTAGTCTAGCTAAGGAGTTACTAATTTTATTAATCTTTGTGGAGATCTATATCTAGTAATATTTCCTGAATAAGTCCTTTTGGTTTGAAATTAATACAGTCATGCTTTGACGATGTTACATGTTTGGCTCCAAACCACCACAATAAAGGAACTGTTCAGATAAAGTAATCACATGAGCTTTCTGATTTCTCAGTGTATATAAAAGTTACATTTATCATTGGGAACAGCATTTGGTGTAGCAGTTACGTTGCTGAACTCTGATGTGGTCAACCATGGTTCAAGTCCCATACCCGGTGACTTCAAAATTATGCTGGCATGTTTGCCTGGGAGATCCTGGAAGGAGAATGGAGGAGAAGGGATTATGGCAGGGCCATGCCCCCCCCCCCCATAGGGAGTGATTTATCACTTTATCTCTCACCATCTCTGTCCCTTTTTCTCTCTGGCAAGTATACATGCTTACGGCAAAAACTTCTCCAAGAAAAAAAAGAAAAAGTTACGTTTACCCTCTACTGTAGTCTATTAAATGTGCAATATAATTATATCTATAAAAAAGTATATATCTTAATTTTAAGATATTTTATTGTTAGATTGGTTTTATAGTCTAATGGTTAGGGGGTTTCATTCCACATAGTCAACAATGGTTCAAATCCCAGCCCTGAAAGCTGCACAGACGTGCCAAAAATACCAGTGGAATAGAGAAAAAGAAGAGGCATGACCATGCCCCCTTAGGAGTGATTTATCTCTTTCTCTGTGAGTGCACATGCCCTCCAGCAATTACACAAATGCTTTATTGTTTGAAAATGCTAATGACCTTTTGAGCCTTCAGTGAATTGTAATCTTTTTGCTGGTGGAGGGTCTTGCCTCAAGGTTGATTGCTGCTGAACTGATCAGTGTCTGGATTGCTGAAATCTGGGTGGCTGTGGCAATTCCTTAAAATAAGACAACAAGGAAATCTGCTACTCTCATTGACTTCCTTTCATGAAAGATTGCTCTGTAGCATGCAGTGCTATTTGGTAGCATTTTCCCCACAGTAGAACTTTGTTCAAAACTGGAGTCAATCTAAAACTCTGCCACTGTTTTATCAACCAAGGTTATGTAATATTCTAAACATTTTGTTTTCATTCCAACAATGTTTACAACATCATCACTATGAGTAGTTTCCACCCAAGAAACAATTTATTTTTGTTCATCCATAAGAAGCAGCTTCTCATCCATT